GGATTTGTGTCCTGTCTTGAGATATGGATAGGTTCATGCACCTACCATTTGAACAGAATCCTAACCTGTTTCCTGGCTTTAAGTTTTAAGCAAATTTCCTTAGCATTTCTTTAAGTTAAAACTGGTTTTCTTAATAGTACCAAGTGAACTTGCTATTGAAAGTGGTTAGATTATTTAAGAAATTGTGTGATCAATACAATGTGGGTGGAAAAGGAATGGAAGACAACTGTAGACACCAGAGATAGTGTGAGAAGAGGGTGGGAAAGGACAGAGAGTCATAAATAGGGGTAAAAAAAATAATAGAAACTAGAAATGGAAAATTTTTCATAATAACATGCATAATTAAGGCACTATGCAGTATATTCTGGATGGGAAATCACATTTTTTATGTTGTGGTGATGCTTAGGAAATGAATGTAAATTAAGTTAAAATAAAAAAAAAGTTTCAGGAAAAAAACCCTAAAACTGTTTTTCATGAAATTTTTTTAAAAATGCATTTAAAAAAAAGGGTGGGGAACACACTTAAAAGAAGCAAGTATCTAAACCACTGGTTAAAGATGAGGTCTTTAGGATAGGCTCTAAATCAAAATGACTGGTGTCCTTATAACTGAAACAATAGAGGTATACAGAGAGAGAATGCCATGTGATGGCACAGACAGAGATTAGAGTGATGCAGCTACAAACTGAGTGATACTAATGACTGATGGCACTGCCAGAAGATAGAAAGGGCCACGAAGGGATTCTATCCAGAGACTGAGAGAGAGCCTGGCTCTGTTGACACCTTGATTTCAGGCTTGTGCCTTCAAAACTGTGAGAAAATAAATGTTTGTTGTTTTAAGTCACCCAGTGCATGTTACTTCACTACAGCAGCACTAGACAACTTTATATGCAAGTAGAATAGTTATTGTGTATTTGCCATTATTCTACTACTCACAAAGAGAAAACAGGATGTGATAAAAAATTTATGAGATAATCAAAAAAAGCTAGAAATCGTGATGATGGTGGTGGTGATGATTACAATATCAGAAGCTATTATTTATTTAGCACTTGTCCTGTGACAGGCGCTGTCCTCCATGTTCTTTATCTAATATTCTATATTAGATAAATCTCTAATATCCAAAACAATATTAATCTCTATTTTACAGATGAAGAAAGTGAGGATCTAAGAATTAAGTTTTTTTTTTTTTTTTTTGGAGAGGTTTTTTGCTACAGGGCGCGTGCACTCACCAGACAGACAGAGACAAACATAGAGACAGAAAGCGAGAAATCACCCCCCAGGGGGGATGGTCACGCCGCAATCCCTTCTCCTCCATTCTCCTCTCAGGATCTTGGGCACGCACGCACACGCGCCCGACGTGAGTTTTAAGCCACCGGGTCCGGGACACGAACCGCGGTCGACTACGTGGGAGTCCAGTGACATAGCCATTACAGTAACTGCTGGTTCCCAGAATTAAATAATTTTTTAAGTTAACGAAGATAAAGGAATTAATTATATTTGAAACCAGGTTCAGAACATGAACAAAACCAAATTCTTTAAAGGGAAGATCTCTTTTTTGTAAGTAGAAGGGATCTTTAAAAAGGTAGAAGTAGACAAGGGAAATATAAGCAGTGGGTTACATGGACAGCTTAAGTAACAGATTAGCAGGACCAGCAGTTAGCGTAATGGCTATGTCGCTGGACTCCCACGTAGTCGACTGCGGTTCGCGTCCCGGACCCGGTGGCTTAAAGCTCACGCCGGGCATGTGTGCGTGCGTGCCCAAGGTCCCGAGAGGAGAATGGAGGAGAAGGGATTGTGGCGTGACCATCCCTCCTGGGGGGTGATTTCTCGCTTTCTGTCTCTATGTCTCTCTGTCTGGTGAGCGCACGCACCCTATAGCAAAAACCTCTTCAAAAAAAAAAAAAAAAAGTAATGGATTAGCTTCAGATAAGACAAAAGCCATGATAAAATACATAGTAGAAGAAATGCAGATATCTTTTTCATGGACTATTCTCCTTTTATGCCTAACAATTTTATAGATTTGTTCAAATTGCATCTTGATCAAACTGTTCCTCAAGACTTAAGCTCATGTTGATCCTTCACTTGACCTTTCTACAACTTTGTGGACTAAATAAGTATGATGTGTAGATACTGAATAAACAACAGTTCACTGACCACTATCTGACAACATTTCCTTGAAAAATACATCCTAAATAAATAGACAGGCAGATATATAAAAATAAAAGGAATCTAGCAAAAGTTATATAGAATTAGTGATGTATGTTTTCTTGATTTGAGAATATTACAAATTTCTAAAAACTCATGTTATTTTAGGTATATATGCAGTGATGCTACAGATGAGTGGCATCAGCTCAAACACTAAATCTAAGATTATAGTTTATGCTTCTTCCTACAGAAACTAAATCTGCCAAGTGAAGTAAGACTTGACTCTCTACCACTTATTTCAAAAAAACAGTGGGGAATCCTGCCAGCAGGCTGTATCAATTACTAAATATAATCCTTCTACCTTGAAACATATTTCCATTATCATGAGAGATTTACGGAAATAAAAAGTATGTGCACTTGACAGGTGAAAAAATTTGACACAAAAAAAACATGCTATTATTTTGAACTAAATGACTTTTTGATAGCAAATTCTTAAAAGAATTAATTATAGGGACCAGCAGGTAATGTACTAGTTAAGGTGCTGGACTCTCACATGGCTGACCATGGTTCAAATCCTGGACCTTTTGGCATGAAAATAATGCCAGGTGCCTATGTATGCATGCCCCAAATCCCAAAAGAATAAAGGAGAAGGAACTGTGGTGTGGTCATCCCCCCCCTACCACCGTGGGTGATTCCTCACTTTCTCTTTCACTGTCTCTCCCCAGCAAGCTTGAGGGCCCTATAGCAACACTCCCCACTGAAAACCTCCCCTACAAAGGAATAAAAAAAAGAAATACAAAATTCTCATGTTTATTTATTCTGCAAGCTAGATCAATGTCAACCTACAACTTTACTAATCCTATTATCAGATATCTACTTGATTCCCTAGGAAATCAGAAAAGGCAGGCAAAGGTAAAGATAGTATATTGAAGTGCCAAGGATATAAAAAGGTAGTTCATAAAAAAAGAAATGCATTGGCAAATAAACATATAAACAGATACTCAACTTCATACATAAGTAAATAAAAATTAAAATGAGGTAGTAATTTTTTACCTATTAAACTAATAAAAATTGGAGAAATTGGATAATGCTTGCTCTCAATTAGGACAGAGAAAAATAAATACTCTCATACTCTCATGTATCTAGGAGTAGAAAATGGAATAACCTTTTTGGAAGGCAATTTAGCAATCTCACAAAATTTTAGAAGTATATAACATTTGACACATTGCAAAACATTAACATATTCACATACTTTACATATAATGTATATTTTTACTGGAACATTGCTCATAATCCCAGAAAACTAAAAGCAATTTATTCACCTATACATCTGTGTTATAATCACACAATATAATACAATGTGGTAATTTAAAATAATGAGGATTCTCTTGGACATGAACAGACATCATGATATGATATTATGGGAAAAAGCAGCTACAGATAGTATATTAAGTATGAATCACACTTGAGGTCTTCTGCAACTATAAAACCAAGATAAGGTTACAAGATCACTATGATGATTAAATGACTCTGTTGATAATATGTGTAAAGAGCTCAAAAAAGCACATAGTAAACACTCAGTTAATGTCAGAATAGGCCCAGACACAGTGGCACAAGCAGCAGAGTGCTACTGCATAAGGCTGGGGCCACGTGGAGACCTGGGTTTGGATTTTGGACCAACCTAAACAAACCAGGTACACATATCTGTAGTCCTAGCTAAAGGAGGCTGAAACAGAGGTTTACAACAAAAAGACCATGTCAAAAATACCTAATCCTTCTCCTCTTCTTTCTGTTCCCCATTCATCTCCTTTCCACTCTCTTTCTCCACACATACCACATACAAATCATTAAATTTTAAAAATTAAATGTGTCGTTCTATCTAGAAAAAGGGAAAATACATTTTTATTTTCATCTTGTTCAATTTTTTTTTTTTTTTTTTTTTTTTTACCACAAACATGAGTTACTTTGTGAATTAAAATTTGCTTCACATCGGGACCAGCAGTTAGCATAATGGCTATGTCGCGGGACTCCCATGTAGTCGACTGCGGCTCGAGTCCCAGACCCGGTGGCTTAAACTCACGCCGGGCGCGTGTACGTGCGTGCCCAAGATCCCGAGAGAAGAATGGAGGAGAAGGGATTGCGGCGTGGCCATCCCCTCTGGGGGGTGATTTCTCGCTTTCTATCTCTCTGTCTCTCTCTGTCTGGCGAGTGCACGCGCCCTATAGCAAAAACCTCTCCAAAAAAAAAAAAATTTGCTTCACATCAACAAATACAAGCTTTTACAATTTTTTTTTTTTAAGGTTTTTGCCATAGTTTGTGTACGCTTGCAGGAGAGGGAGAGAAATATCGAAAAGGATGGTGAGAAATCACACCCCAAAGGGGATAGTCACAATCGCTTGTCCTCCATTCTCCTCTTGGGATTTGGGGTATGCACACATACATACACACACACACACGGCATGATTTTCAAGCCACCAAGTCTGAGACTTGAACTATAGTCAGTCATGTGGGAGTCCAGTGCCCTAACCAGTACGCTACCTGCTCATCCCTACATTCTTAAGCAATGAGCTTATCTTTCTCTCTTTTGCTTGGTTTTTAGCCTCAAAGGCAGGTAGCATTAGATATTTGCATGTCCATGTAGGGCAGAATGATTTGTTTTATATATAGTACTCAATAATTGAATCTAATTTCTTTTGAGACAAAGATCTTTGTGGTTCAAAAGACAAATAAAAATCATTAAATTCCTATTAGTAATCACTAAATAATGTGTCCTTGAATGAGTTCCACTAACACAGTTAGCTGAGTTATTTTACTAAAGTAATATGAGAACCTTTATTTAATTTTATACTTACAGTTTCTAGGCTCTCTTTTTTCATGTTCAGTGAGTCTAGTTGTTGCTGAAGTGTATCTAATTCCTAAGGGAAAAAAAAGGAAATATAAATACAAATTATATTAAGTATGCTTCTCTATTTCTTAACATTTCAAATATGACAAAAGTAAATTTTATGAACATCTTCAAGTGGTATCTGGATTTTAAAATGAATTTATTAACATTTCATCATCTCTAATTTTTGCTAATTTCTTTCATTATTACTAAAAATCTTGCTTTATGTCTTTGAAAAAACTTCATAAGCTTGTCAAAAATAGCTAGGCTGGGACCAGCAGGTGGCATGATGGTCAAGGCACTGGACACTCCCATATGGCCAATCACAGTTTGAGTCCTGGAACTGGTGGCTTGCTTTCTCACTTTCCCTCTCTTTCTCTGTGTCTCTCTCTGGGTAAATTAAAACAAATGAATGAATAAATAAAATAAAATAAATAATTATTTTTTTAAAAAATAGCTAGGCTGGGGCCAGCTAGTGGTGTGCTGGTTAAAGACACTAACTAGATTTGCACATGGCTGACTGTGGTTCAAGTCTCAAACCTGGTGGTTTGCTTTGCACTTTCTCTTTGTCTCCCTCTCTTTGTCTTTCTCTGGTCAAATTTAAACAATAATAATTAAATTAAATTAAATTAAAATAAATAATAAAATGTTAAAAAAAATAGCTAGGCCCTTCACAGTGAATCATTACCGTGTTCTAAGAACATTAAATACCATAAGCCTTCAAATTAAACATGCTATTGATTTAAATTTTTTAAAGAGGTTTTTGCTATACATGCACTCGCCAGAAAGACAGAGAGACAGAAAGTGAAAAATCAACCCTCCAGGGGGTATGGCCATGTGGCAATCCCTTCTCCTCCATTCTCTCAGGACCTTGGGCACACACGCTCATGCGCCCGGTTTGAGTTTATGCCACTGGGTCTAGGACTCGAACTGTGGTCGACTACATGGGAGTCTAGTGACATAGCCATTACACCAACTGCTGGTCTCACTGCTTTAAATTATTTTTAATTTTGATTTTTAACCAAGTTTTTATATCTTTTGGCTAATTTCTGTCAGGGCCAGGACTTTTATATATATATATGTATATATATAAATATAATCTAATATATATATGTGTGTGTTTATATATTTAGAAGTATATATACACATACACATTATATACACAAACACACACACACACACCCATATACATATATCTTCTAAAAGGTCATTAAGAATGTATATTATGGAAAAATTATGAATGGATTTCAAAAATTTTATGCAGCAAAAATGAACTCATACTTTGATTTCATTTTTCCATGAGCTTATTGAAGTCCCCTGGTATGTATGTATGTGTGAGTATGCACATGTATATATATATATATATGTACCTAGACAGGAACTAGGTGTCATTTGAGCAAAACAAAATACAACTTTAGATAAATAATACTATTTGCTTAAATTCCCTTTCATCTATTGCTTTAAAATGGGTACTCCCCAAGTTACTGCTATATTTTAGCCTTGTAAAATAATAAGCTAATTTCCCTGAAAATGTAACTAGAACATTACAAATACAGTTACATAAAAGTAGTAATAGTACAATATGTACACATATACACACGTATGTAAACATGGTTCATTCTTAGGATAAGATCTATAATCTACTAATTTGCAAACCCTTAGAAGATTAACTATATTTTGGTAGTGTTTTGAAACTTCTATAATACTTGTTCTATGATGCTTTACTGTATCTTATAAATCATGTCTAAAATAAAAAAGTTATACTAAACTGTCAGTGAACTAATATCTGAGAAACTAAAACTATATCAGTTATTGGTATTTATTGGGTCTAATTCTTGGCTGACCTTTTAGTTAAGGGACAGCTGGACATAAAATGGCACCAAAATGACTGAACATTGGAAGGATTTTCAAAACCCCTCATCAAGGGGACCAGCAGTTAGCGTAATGGCTATGTCGCGGGACTCCCACACAGTCGACCGTGGTTTGTGTCCTGGACCCAGTGGCTTAAACTCACGCCGGGCGCATGTGCGTGCATGCCCAAAATCCCAAGAGGAGAATGGAGAAGGGACTACGGCGTGGCCATTCCCCCTGGGGGGGTGATTTCTCACTTTCTATCTCTCTATCTCTCTCTGTCTGGCGAGCACGCGCGCGCCCTATAGCAAAAACCTCTCAAACAAACAAACAAACAAACAAGCAAACAAAAACCCTCATCAAGCATCTAAATTGCTTATTTAAGTGACATGACCAAGAAACAAAAGCAGCTCAAATCAGAGACCAAGTGGGCAAAATGTTTGTTGGTTATTGGAAATGAGGAAAAAGGAGAAAAAGTAAAGGATATTATTCTAGACTATGAGGTCTTTAAACATTTCCACTAAAAGTCCATGAAACAAAGTGTTTTCATGTATCTTTACGATAAACAAAAATAAAAGATGCATAGAACTGAGTGACTAATGATTATAGTAAAAGCTAGGTCATCAAGAAGCATAGGAAAATGAAGTTTTCACTCTTCCATTGCTGCTGATAACTTGTGAATTCAGGGAATAAGAGAAATGAAGATTTTCTACTGATAATTCAGCCTCCAGCCCCCAGTCTCAAGTGGTAGGGAGCCCTCTCTCCTTCTGTCTCTGTCTGCCTCTCTGTCTTATTTTTTGGTATTTTTTCCTTTAAAAATTTTTTTAAGGTAGAGTATTCTCTTGGCTTTCAGATAGTACTTCCTTTATCTTGCTAATAATCCCCTTTCCCCCTCCCCTCTAGGAGAGGCAAGGGGTAGGTCTTCAGAAGGAGATTCCTCCATTGCTGCTGAGAACTATTGAATTCGTGCAGTGTGTGCTGTGGTTTTTCATCTTTTACTTAAAAAAAAAAATGATTTTTTTTTCTCTTTTTTCTCTCTCTCTGTTTCCTTATTCTTTTTTCTTTTACCTCATCACTTTGCTGCTCAATCTCCATTCACTGAGTTTCTAGACAGATCTAAGAGAACCATATCCAAACATCCATATACTACTAGGGTTAACATATTCTTCAATACCCACTGAATCTGCTGCATAAAGGGATAAAAACAGAATGGCAACGAGATTGCAGATCACCTCCTGCAAACTCCTGAATGCTCAGATTGAACTTCAAGACTTAGGAAGAAATGCACCATCCATCACATGACTAGAAGTCACTGTAGGGTCACAAGAAAAATAGGAAAGCAAGAAAATACCTTTACTCCAAGGGAAAAGAACAACTCCTCTTTATCCACAGACAGTTCAATGGAAACCATGGAAATGTCTGATAAAGAATTTAGAATATTCATAGTGACAAAGTTAACAGAGGGGCAAGAGAAGAGAGACAATGAACTCTAAAAGAAGCATGAGAATAGAGCCAAGGAGTTCCAGGAGGTGAGGAAGTTCTTAGAGATGAAGGCTGTAATACAGAAAATCAAAACCTCCCTTGAGGGACCAGCAGTTAGAGTAATGGCTATGTCACTGGACTCCCACGTAGTCGACCGCAGTTCGCGTCCCAGACCCGGCGGCTTAAAACTCACGCTGGGTGTGTGTGTGTGCATGCCCAAGATCCCGAGAGGAGAATGGAGGAGAAGGGATTGCGGTGTGACCATCCCCCCGGGGGGTGATTTCTCATTTTCTGTCTCTCTGTCTCTCTCTGTCTGTCTGGCGAGTGCATGCGCCATATAGCAAAAAGCCTCTCAAAAAAAAAAAAAAGAAAAAAAAGAAAAAGAAAAGAAAATCAAAACTTCCCTTGAAAGTATTAAAAGCAGACTAGATCATACAGAAGAACAAATTTCAGTGGTAGAAAACAGAATCACTGACCTAAAAAATCCACCACAAAGACTGAGAAAATAGTCCAAAAAAATGAAAATAATACAAAAAATGCTAGACACCATCAAACATCCAAACATCTGGATAACTGGTATCCCAGAAGGTGAAGAGACTAATAAGGGCGTTGATAATATAGCCCATGAAATCCTTGAAGAAAACTTTTCAAACCTAGAGAGGCACTCAAAGATCCAGAGATCCAGATCCAAGAAATACATAGGACCCCAAATAGAATCAACCCGAGAAGGTCTTCTCCAAGACACATTATAGTCAGATTGACCAAAACTACAAAGACAATGTACTTAGACTGGCAAGAGAGAAATGACAATTTACCTACAAAGGATATCTCATCAGGCTAACAGTGGATTTCTCAACGGAAACAATGCGAGTAAGGAAATAATGGGAAAATATATTCAAAGTATTGAGTGAAAAACAATTTCAACCAAGAATACTATGCCCAGCAAGATTATCCTTCACATGGGAAGAGAAGACAAGAACACTCTCAGATAAACAAAACCTGAAAGAATTTACTGACACAAGGTCAGTTCTCCAAGAAGTTCTGATGGGAGTGCTATACCAGGAAAACTAAATTCAGACACACAGAAATTAGAGTTAAAAAACATCTAAGAAAAGGGCCAGGAATGGTAGGAACAAATCCAGAAGTTAAACAGAAAGTCTGGACCACAATAGAAGTTAGAATAAATACAGGAGACTGAGCTGATAAAATAGAATTTTATGGCTTTTGACTAAAACAATACTGATCTTTTCCTATGCTTTGCAGTCCAGAGATAAGCATTTCATTCTTCTCTTGAATTGTCGACAGATCTAGGTAATTACTATTTGAAGAGAATCCTAACCTGCTTCCTGGCTTGAAGTCTTAAGCAAAGTTCTCTTAACGTTTTTTTAAACTTTGATTTATTAAAGCTAGAACTGCCTTTTTTAAATTAAAAATCATATTAAAAAATACCCATTTGGGACCAGCAGTTAGCACAATGGCTATGTCACTGGACTCCCACGTAGTTGACCGCGGTTAACGTCCCGGACCCGGTGGCTTAAACTCACACCAGGCGCATGTGGTGCACGCCCAAGATCCCAAGAGGAGAATGGAGGAGAAGGGATTGCGGCATGGCCATTCGCCCTGGGGAGTGATTTCTTGATTTCTGTCTCTCTGTCTTTGTCTGTCTGGCGAGCGCACGTACCCTATAGCAAAAATCTCTCCAAGATAAAAAAAAAACAAAAAACACCCATTTAACGAACACAGTAAGCTATATAGCCTCAGCTAGGTGCTATTTTATAATATATTCATTCTACTCACAGTTTCATGCCTAAAGTCAAACATTTGTTCACAGAAACTGGGGTATCAGCTGAACTTGCTATTGAAAGTAGTTAGATCAATTAAGATATCTTGATGGGATCAGCAGTTGGCGTAATGGCTATGTCACTGGGCTCCCATGTGGTCGACTGCAGCTCAAGTCCCAGACCTGGTGGCTTAAACTCACGCCAGGCATGTGTATGTGCGGGCATGCCCAAGAGCCTGAGAGGAGAATGGAGGAGAGGGAATTGCAGTGTGGCCATTCCACATGGAGGGTGATTTCTTGCTTTCTGTCTCTCTTTCTCTCTCTGTCTTTCTGGCCCTTTAGCCAAAACCTCATGACAAAATTTGTTAACCAATAAATGTGGGAGAAAAAAATAGAATGAAAAGCAACTGCAGATACTAGATAGAGTGGGGGAAGGGTAGATGGCAGAGGGTGAGAAATGGGGAAATAAGAAATGGAAAATTATTTGTGATAATAGCATGTAGACTAAGCCACTATGCAGTATATTCTGTATGGAAAATTGCATCTTGTATGCTGTGATGATGTTCAGTGAATGAATACCAAATAAATAATATATATTAGAAAAAAGAAAATGAAGTTTTCTAGTAAGTGTTTCTTAAATTAAAATGTCCACATGATTCAGTTGAGAACCTTATTAAAGTGAAGACTCTGATCTGTAGGTACAGTCAAGCTCTTAGGGGATGCTGATCTTCAGACCATACCTTTAGTGGCAAGATTGCTAAATATTTGGCACATTACCTGCAATAATTTTTCATTTGTGGTTTTCATCTCTATGTACTTTATTTGTTTTTCTGGAGACATATTTTTGATAATGCCATCTGCTGCTTGTTTTTCCTGTTCAATTTCTTCTTCAACACTTCTAATTTGTTTTTCTTTCCTAAAGCAAAAGCATGTAATATTTCTGTTACTATATTGAGGAAAACTACATCAAATATATCTCAGATAATGGTCTGAACTTAACAAGGTATTTAGATATTCAGACAATGGCCTCGATTTAATGGTACTTAGAGATATTCAACCATAGTGCATGACTTAAAAGTCATTATACATGTACAAAAAACTTTCTATTATACCATAAAATTCAGCCTATTAGCACCAACTTATTTTACATCTATTTCTTCTCTATGTGCAAACTATTCTATTTCCTTATGTTCAATTTTACTTTGCTAAAAAAATCACAAAGATTATCACAGAAAATCCTTAAGGCTTGTACATATGAAGATGCATTTACACTTTTTGTTATCATATGATGCTCAAACGACATATTAGTTAAGTTTTAGAATAGTGGTTTTCAAACATCCTATAGTTCTAGAATTCTCTGATCAAATATTGAAATCTTGTAGGGAAGTTTGCCTTTTTTTTTTTTTTTTTGAGAGAGGTACAAAAAATGCTAGACACCATCAAACATCCAAACATCTGGATAACTGGTATCCCAGAAGGTGAAGAGACTAATAAGGGCGTTGATAATATAGCCCATGAAATCCTTGAAGAAAACTTTTCAAACCTAGAGAGGCACTCAAAGATCCAGAGATCCAGATCCAAGAAATACATAGGACCCCAAATAGAATCAACCCGAGAAGGTCTTCTCCAAGACACATTATAGTCAGATTGACCAAAACTACAAAGACAATGTACTTAGACTGGCAAGAGAGAAATGACAATTTACCTACAAAGGATATCTCATCAGGCTAACAGTGGATTTCTCAACGGAAACAATGCGAGTAAGGAAATAATGGGAAAATATATTCAAAGTATTGAGTGAAAAACAATTTCAACCAAGAATACTATGCCCAGCAAGATTATCCTTCACATGGGAAGAGAAGACAAGAACACTCTCAGATAAACAAAACCTGAAAGAATTTACTGACACAAGGTCAGTTCTCCAAGAAGTTCTGATGGGAGTGCTATACCAGGAAAACTAAATTCAGACACACAGAAATTAGAGTTAAAAAACATCTAAGAAAAGGGCCAGGAATGGTAGGAACAAATCCAGAAGTTAAACAGAAAGTCTGGACCACAATAGAAGTTAGAATAAATACAGGAGACTGAGCTGATAAAATAGAATTTTATGGCTTTTGACTAAAACAATACTGATCTTTTCCTATGCTTTGCAGTCCAGAGATAAGCATTTCATTCTTCTCTTGAATTGTCGACAGATCTAGGTAATTACTATTTGAAGAGAATCCTAACCTGCTTCCTGGCTTGAAGTCTTAAGCAAAGTTCTCTTAACGTTTTTTTAAACTTTGATTTATTAAAGCTAGAACTGCCTTTTTTAAATTAAAAATCATATTAAAAAATACCCATTTGGGACCAGCAGTTAGCACAATGGCTATGTCACTGGACTCCCACGTAGTTGACCGCGGTTAACGTCCCGGACCCGGTGGCTTAAACTCACACCAGGCGCATGTGGTGCACGCCCAAGATCCCAAGAGGAGAATGGAGGAGAAGGGATTGCGGCATGGCCATTCGCCCTGGGGAGTGATTTCTTGATTTCTGTCTCTCTGTCTTTGTCTGTCTGGCGAGCGCACGTACCCTATAGCAAAAATCTCTCCAAGATAAAAAAAAAACAAAAAACACCCATTTAACGAACACAGTAAGCTATATAGCCTCAGCTAGGTGCTATTTTATAATATATTCATTCTACTCACAGTTTCATGCCTAAAGTCAAACATTTGTTCACAGAAACTGGGGTATCAGCTGAACTTGCTATTGAAAGTAGTTAGATCAATTAAGATATCTTGATGGGATCAGCAGTTGGCGTAATGGCTATGTCACTGGGCTCCCATGTGGTCGACTGCAGCTCAAGTCCCAGACCTGGTGGCTTAAACTCACGCCAGGCATGTGTATGTGCGGGCATGCCCAAGAGCCTGAGAGGAGAATGGAGGAGAGGGAATTGCAGTGTGGCCATTCCACATGGAGGGTGATTTCTTGCTTTCTGTCTCTCTTTCTCTCTCTGTCTTTCTGGCCCTTTAGCCAAAACCTCATGACAAAATTTGTTAACCAATAAATGTGGGAGAAAAAAATAGAATGAAAAGCAACTGCAGATACTAGATAGAGTGGGGGAAGGGTAGATGGCAGAGGGTGAGAAATGGGGAAATAAGAAATGGAAAATTATTTGTGATAATAGCATGTAGACTAAGCCACTATGCAGTATATTCTGTATGGAAAATTGCATCTTGTATGCTGTGATGATGTTCAGTGAATGAATACCAAATAAATAATATATATTAGAAAAAAGAAAATGAAGTTTTCTAGTAAGTGTTTCTTAAATTAAAATGTCCACATGATTCAGTTGAGAACCTTATTAAAGTGAAGACTCTGATCTGTAGGTACAGTCAAGCTCTTAGGGGATGCTGATCTTCAGACCATACCTTTAGTGGCAAGATTGCTAAATATTTGGCACATTACCTGCAATAATTTTTCATTTGTGGTTTTCATCTCTATGTACTTTATTTGTTTTTCTGGAGACATATTTTTGATAATGCCATCTGCTGCTTGTTTTTCCTGTTCAATTTCTTCTTCAACACTTCTAATTTGTTTTTCTTTCCTAAAGCAAAAGCATGTAATATTTCTGTTACTATATTGAGGAAAACTACATCAAATATATCTCAGATAATGGTCTGAACTTAACAAGGTATTTAGATATTCAGACAATGGCCTCGATTTAATGGTACTTAGAGATATTCAACCATAGTGCATGACTTAAAAGTCATTATACATGTACAAAAAACTTTCTATTATACCATAAAATTCAGCCTATTAGCACCAACTTATTTTACATCTATTTCTTCTCTATGTGCAAACTATTCTATTTCCTTATGTTCAATTTTACTTTGCTAAAAAAATCACAAAGATTATCACAGAAAATCCTTAAGGCTTGTACATATGAAGATGCATTTACACTTTTTGTTATCATATGATGCTCAAACGACATATTAGTTAAGTTTTAGAATAGTGGTTTTCAAACATCCTATAGTTCTAGAATTCTCTGATCAAATATTGAAATCTTGTAGGGAAGTTTGCCTTTTTTTTTTTTTTTTTTGAGAGAGGTTTTTGCCATAGGGCGCGTGCGCTTGCCAGAGAGAGAGAGACAGAGAGACAGAGAGACAGAAAGCGAGAAATCACCCCCCAGGGGGGATGGCCATGCTACAATCCTCTCTCCTCCATTCTCCTCTTGGGATCCTGGGCACACACGCACACGCGCCCGGCGTGAGTTTTACGACACTGGGTCCGGGACAAGAACTACGGTCGACTACATGGGAGCCCAGTGACACAGCCATTACGCCAACCGTTGGTCCTGGAAGTTTGCCATTTAAATCACATAAGCAATGCAGCTTTAATTAAACTGGGGAGTAGAGAGACCATTGTGCAATTAGATAAAAACAGAACAAAACAAAAGTAGCTTTAGATTAATAATACAATTCACTTAAATTCCCTTTTCTCTACTGCTTTAATTAAAATGAGTAATCTACAAGTTACTGCTATATTTTTTTTAGAGATTTTTGCCTTAGGCATGTGTGGTTGCCAGAGAAACAGAAAGCAAGAAATCACCCTGCAGGGGATATGACCACAACTCAATCCCTTCTCCTCCATTATTCTCTGGGGATCTCAGGCATGTATACACACCCACCTGGCATGAGTTTTAAGACTTGAACCGTGGTTGACTATGTGGGAGTCCAGCGGTGTAACCATTATACGATCTGCTGGTCCCAGTTATATTTTAGCTTGGTAAAACAAGTTAATTTCCCTGAAAACATAACTGGAACATTACAAATATATTCACATAAGGTAGTAATATTAAAATTAATTAGAATAACCATCTTTATTATATAATCATAAGAAATACCAGTGGTGTGTCATTTATTTCCTATGTAATATCAATTAAAAAGAAAAAAATTCTGGGGGGGGGAAATACAGCAGGGTTCAGCTGTGGTGCCATGCACTACTAAGACACTTCTACTTGGAGGTAGAGGCTACATTGGAGGCCCAGGTTCAATTTTTGGCCTAGCCTAGGTAGTAGGCCCAGTATGCTGAAAAGCAGCAATAGTCTTAGCTAGCCAGGAAGTTGAGGAAGAAGACTCTCAAAATGGGCAGGTTCTATCAAAAATCTCTTTATAAAATTTTCTTTAAAAATTCTTTTAAAAATAAAAATTCTTTTGGGAACCAGCAGTTAGCATAATGCTATGTCGCTGGACTCCCACGTAGTCGACCGCGGTTCGCGTCTCGGACCCGGTGGCTTAAATCTCACGCCGGGCGCGTGTGCGTGCGTGCCCAAGATCCCGAGAGGAGAATGGAGGAGAAGGGATTGTGGCGTGACCATCCCCCCTGGGGGGTGATTTCTCGCTTTCTGTCTCTATGTCACTGTCTGTCTGGCGAGCGCACGCCCCCTATAGCAAAAACCTCTCCAAAAAAAAAAAAAAATTCTTTTAAAAATGCTACTTATTCTTGTAGATGCTACTTATTCTTGTAAGTACTTGAAGAAATAAAAAGCTTGTCTTGGGCCAGTCCATGGACTGGTGGTTAAGGTGACTGATTCCTACATGGCTAACAGTGTGATGTAAGTCTTTGTTGATCCAGAGACTTGGAAACATGCCAGGTACAGGTGGGTACAATGCCCAAAATCCTGACAGGAGGGGGAGATAGGAAAGGGACTGCAGCATGACCACACCCCATCGAGGGTGCTTTCTCCTTCATCACTCTGTCTCTCTTACCTTCTTTCTGGTGAGTACACATAACCTCTAGCAAAAATTAATTAATTGATTAATTAAAGGAAAAAAGATAAGAAAAGCTTGATTTAGCATAATTTTGAGTCCAAGATTATAAATTTCTAATTTGAGTCTTAAAGTTGATAGATTTACCACTATTTACTTTTTCACTCATAGAAATCAACTTTAAAAGTTTCACATTTGAGACCAGCAGTTAGGGTAATGGCTATGTCACTGGACTCACATGTAGTCAACTGCAGTTCGAGTCCCGGACTCGGTGGCTTAAACTCACACTAGGCGTGTGTGCGTGTGTGCCAAAGATCCTGAGAGGAGAATGGAAAAGAAGGGATTGTGGCATGGCCATCCCTCTGGGGGCTGATTTCTCGCTTTCTGTCTCTCTCTGCCTTCCTGGTGAGTGCACGTGCCCTATAGCAAAAACCTCTCAGGGGACCAGCAGTTAGCATAATGGCTATGTTGTTGGACTTCCATGTAGCTGACCACGGTTCGAGTCCCGGACTGGTGGCTTAAACTCACATTGGGCGCGTGTGCGTGCGTGCCCAAGATCCTGAGAGGAGAATGGAGGAAAAGGGACTGTGGCGTGGCCATCCCCCCTGGGGGTGATTTCTCGCTTTCTGTCTCTCTGTCTCTATCAGTCTGGTGAGCGCACGTGCCCTATAGCAAAAACCTCTCTAAAAAAAAAAAAAAAAATTTTAAAGACCATGGATGTAAAGTGGTGGTTAAAGCACTGAACTCCATAAACAATTGCAGTTCGAGTCATGGACCTAGCAGATTGCTTTCTCACACATCCTCTCTCTGGTGAGCACATGTGTTCTATAGCAAATTTTTATTTCAAGAATTATTTTATCTAAATTTATTTATTTATTATTTTAATTTGATCAGAGAGGGAGAAAGTAAGAGAAAGAGAGAGGGAAAGTGAGAAAACAAGTCCCCAGGTCTGGAACTTGAACTGTGGTCAGCAATGTAGGAGTCCACCGCCCTTAACCATCATGCTACCTGCCAGCGTAAACTACAGCAAATTTTAAAGAATAAATAAAATAAATAACGAACTCTTTTTAAAAATTTTCATTGGACTAGCAGATGGTGCAATGGTTACATCGCTGGACTCCTAGGTAGTCAGCCACGGTGCAAGTCCTGGGCCCAGTGGCTTAAAACTCATGCTGGGCACATGTGCATGTGTGCCCAGAGTCCAAAGAGAAGAATGGAAGAGAAGGGATTGAGGTGTGGCCTTTCCCCTGGGGGGTAGGGGGGATTTCTTGCTTTCTATCTTTTTATTTCTTTGTCTCTCCAGTGCACACACACCCTACTGAAAAAAAAAAAAAAACTCTTTACAAAAAGAAAAGCTTCACAATTACCAGTTAAGCCCTTACAGATCCACATATCCCATCTTATTACTAGAATGAATACAGAGACTCAGCAATTTCCCTATAAATAACATCTGATAATGACCAAATAAAAGATGAACATACAAAGCAGAATTTTAATTTATTTTTGTTTTACTGTTGGCAAGAGTGACATCTCCACTTTGAGGTTCAATTACTACAGTATGTTTGTGGCTGCAATAATTTATATAAGTCTATAGGCTCATAGAACTTTCAAGCAGAAAATATCTATTTCAAACTCTTTATTTCATAGATTAAGGATATTAAAGTACAGAGGAGTTACTCTTTTGAAACTAATTCATTCTATACTTCTTGATTATTTACTACCAACAATGATTCTTCCTAATATGTCTACTGTAATTAGATAAACTAATGTACAGTATTTCATTTTGCCGAGAAAATTATAGCACTAGGAAGATAAATGCTATTTTTGAAGGCCATATTATGGCCAAATATCAGGTCTTCTGATACTCTGGGCACTTTGCTCCTGTTACAACATTGCAGTAAAATGACCACAAAGTCATTACTGTCATAAAAATGACTACCATAAAAATGAGTAAACAATGAAGTTGAAACTCAATGCAATATAAAACTTGGCAGTATCGTTTCAGTTTGGATCTTTCTAAACATAAAATACCCTTAGGACTAACACAAATGAAATTAGTGCCAATATATTTTTCAAAAGTATACATTCTCAATTTGATACACTTTGATCCACAAAGTAAAATAGTAGTTTGATAATTTTTTGAAGAATAATTAAGAAACACAAAAGGTTAAGTGAGCCTTCTTACTTGTTACACTAAAAAAAGTCAAAGATGACTTTAAGAAGTTTTTCTTCTAGTCAATCTTTTGCTAAGGAAGTTTAACTTTTTTTTAATCACCTATTACTGGGTACAAAGGTTACAGCAAAGTGAAATGTAATCACATGACATACTTTTTTTCCAATGGTGTTAGAAGAAAGGGAATAAATTTCTTCAGCACACCAGTGTCAGAGACAAAAGAAAAAAGGAAAGGTAAGAGTTTATATTTTTATAGATTTATTATTCAACTTTTTAAAAAATATTTAAATCTATACAAAAGTCATTATCTTTAATAAGTAATGAAAGAGCAGAAAATATGATTATATTTTCACATAGTCTACCTCGGAAATAACGTAAATCTAGGACATAGCTGAAGAATCTTTCCCAAAGTTTTAATGCAATAGGATAATTGTTTTTCTTTGAGAGAAAGGTTTCATTTATCTGATCAAATTAATAAGATCTTTTTACTTTTCAGCATGTTAGTCACAAAACATTTTGAAGACATTAACCTAAAAACATATTTGCAAGATGAAAAAAAGACTAGCCACTATTAAAAACTGCTAAAGTTTGACAATAACTATTCTTTGTACTTATTTCTTTTTCTTGAAATTTTCCATTACAAAAATGTTTCTACTTTTAAGAAAAAAATAACTAGCTAAGAACTTAATTGTGAATCACTGAGCTCTTACTCCAAATATAGAGTTTTGACATAAATATTCAGAATACTTAATTGCAAAACTACACATACTTTTCACTTAGCAAAACCAAAATAATTGCAACATATGCAATTGTCATAAGTCATGATGAATTTTTGCATAGAAAATATTTCTGTTTCATTGCATGTAATAATTGCATAAAACAAATAACTAAAACTCTAAAAAAGGTTATACTTGAAACGCCATTAGGAGGAACATAAATACTTTTTTAGTAACTATCATTTTCTTTTGTGTAAAGTCCTTTTTTTTTTTTCCCTGTAAGGTAGCTGTAGGCTATATAAAGGACACTTAATTTGTGAAATAACTAGGAGACAGGTATTCTATTAGTGTTTTATTAGTTTCTAATTAAAGTAGAACTCAAATATCATTTTAAAATAAATTTCAAGTTGAGAAAAAACATTCCAAAATGAGAAAAAGACAATAAATGTCTTTTTAAATCAATAATTTAAATAGGGTTCATGGCCATGGTCAATTTTTGCATAATCTACTGGCTAGCTATCCTGCCAATCTGATTTCTTTATAATACTCAATAATGCTAGCAAATTCTTTTGTCTAGGGATTTATGCAGTGTCATGGTAGACTTCACTCCCTCTCTCAATAGCTTCCCTTTCAAAAGGCACACAAATATGTGAAAACTCTCACGGAGTTTATGAATCAATCAGGATATTTCACAGCTTTAAACCTAATAATAATTTAGATTTCTTGAATGCCTTCTTGAAAAGACTCTACCTTGAACTGAATATATACTACTCCTAGCTCTAAAATGCATTGAGTAGAAAAAAAAAGATTCCTTTCGTAATTCTTATACTTTTGCTTCCTTTAGCACAGTATTAGTGTTAAATAAATGATAAAGATAATAAAAATAAGACTGTCTTCTGTTTCCATTTCCAGTCCTGCTTTGCCTTCATTACCTTCTTTGCCTGTTTCTATTTTATTAATACATTGACTCTTTACTTAAATCCAGTTAATTTTCTGTCTAGACTATTTGCTCCCTTTAACCATACCTATCCTGCTAACTGCTGAAAAAATATCATGTTTCTTTACTCACCTCTCCTCATTCATTTCTGGATTCCACGAGAGATATCAGTAAGAACTTCATCAGGCCATTGACAAATACTGAAATAAGCCATTGAAGAGGAGACACACCTATTTCTAGACACCATAAAACACAGGGAAGCTACCTTTTGTAAATGATTTAGGTGCATCCCTACTATGGGCAATGGTACAAAATAAGTGACAATCTGAAGTCATTTCTGGCTTTAAAGGGATTCTATTATGATCCAATCCAAGTTGAATAAAGTCTGGAGGCAGAATAGCTTTTTCTTTTCTTTTTTTAATATGCTAGTGGACACATGCAATTGTGAGAAAGAGAGAAAGGGAGAAAGCACTCCCCAGTGGGGTATGATCATGTCACAATCCCTCCTCCTCCTTTTATCCACCCTACTTGGGAGCATGCATGCACATATTCCTGGCATGTTCTTCAAGCTACCATGAGCAAGATTTGAACTGTGCACTCAGCCAGGTGGGATTCAACTCCCTTAATCGTTAACTAGGCCATCAGGATGGCCCAAGAGTATTTTTTCCTAATACATCTGACTGGTATGGAAAGAAAGAAAGAGAATAAGCACAAACAGACCAATGAAGGGAAGACAATAAAGAAGTAGACTGAAATAGACCAGCATTGAAATAACGAATTTCTCATTGTTAATGAGATAACAGACTAATAACTTGAAAAGATTCTTGCTTAGTCTGATTAGTTTTTTAACTTTCTACTCTGGGGTAATATATTTTTCCTTTAAAAATTCAAAATAACGGGAACCAGCAGTTAGCGTAATGGCTATGTCGCTGGACTCCCACATAGTTGACCGCGGTTCGTGTCCCGGACCCGGTGGCTTAAAACTCACGCCGGGCGCGTGTGCGTGCGTGCCCAAGATCCCGAGAGGAGAATGGAGGAGAAGGGATTGCGGCGTGACCATCCCCCCTGGGGGGTGATTTCTCGCTTTCTGTCTCTATGTCTCTCTCTGTCTATCTGGCGAGCGCACGCGCCCTACAGTGAAAATCTCTCCCCCCCCCAAAAAAAAAATTCAAAATAAGTAACTGTAACAAAAGCTGTAAGAAGGTTCAAAGATTAAATTTTAGAAGACCCCTAAGGATGACAGGATATATTCATATCCTTTCAAATACATCATTTGTTTGTAGGAAGGTTTTTAATGTTGTCTTTAAGTTAACAGAGGTAAATAACAAGAAACATCCAGATCATGAATAAAATGATCAAATGTAAATAACTATTTAGCAAGAAGAGTACACTCCAATAAATGGCAATTTCCAAGTAAGATGGCACGAGCAAAGCATTCATTAGATCTGAATACTGTCTAAAATCTAAAACAAAAATAACAGATAAAAAGAGGCTTATAAGCCCCATGGACAAAGAGGATGGAAGAAAGGACAATAGCACTAACACCTAGAAACCAGAAAACTAATAGTTTATAAGAAAATGACTGGGAAAACAAAATTTTCTCAAGCCAGTCATGGGAAAACCTGAAAAGCCAAATGAATTCTACTGTGTGAACTCTAAATGGCCCTGAAATTGGTAGCACCAGGTATTTTAGGAGTAGAAAAGGGGCTCATTCTCCCCCTGCCTCTACCTAGCCAGATAATGTTCCATCCCTACAAGAGCAGAAAATTATAGGACTTTTCCCCCCTCTGGGGAAAATAAAGAGAATTTAGGCACTAGGCACAAGTACATGGGCATTGTTGAGACTGAATTAAAGTTCAAATTTTAAATACTAATATAAACCCACCTTTTCCAGCTCTGAGAATGTGGGCTACCTGGCTTTATCTGTTTAGATGGTATACTAAAACAGTTATTTTGTGGGATCTAACCAGTCCAAAAGAAAATATCTAACAATTTAGGTTATTTCTCAAGAAAACAATGCATCAACTTCACTCTACAATAAAGTTTAAGAGTCAGTAAGTTCCACACAAACACAGTTTCCAGTTGGCTTTTTTAGTTTCCACTCTTATGCATAAGCCCCAGACAAAATACTAACGGACACATGAAGAAAGTTTTCTATATAAAGAACACTATTCAAAATAAACTGGAAAAGAATAGCCTGGAGACACAGAGGCTATTCAGGGAAAAAGAAAACAACAAAAGGCACAACACGAAACAATAAGAAAGGGTAATACATCCATGCAATAGGATACCACTAAAGAAAATATTCAGAGAACAAATATTAGAATTTAAAAGATAGGAAAAATAAAAATTTGAAGATAAAGTTGAAGGTATCTCCAGAAAGCAGAACAAAAACACAGAAATGAAATGTTCTACTCCCTAGAGTAAAGGTAAAAATATGAAACTCATTCCAGAAAGTCCAACAGCGAGTTAAAACAGTTCCAGAAAGAGAAATGAAGAAAATCATCAATACCATCCATGCAATAATTCAGATTTCCCAAAACTGAAAGGCATAGATTCCAAATTGAAAGGACCAAACAAGTATCCAATTTAACAGATGAAAATAGATTCTCACAAAGATACATGACCATGAAATTTCAGTATACTGATTATAAAAGCTTTGAGGGTAAGGAAGAGACAAGTAACATAAAAAGATAAAAAATTAGAATGACACACAGCATTACATCTTGTTTTTTTTGGAGAGATTTTTGCTGTAGGGCGCATGCGCTTGCCAGACAGAGAGAGACAGAAAGACAGAAGCGAGAAATCTCTCTCCGGGAGGATGGCCACGCAGCAATCCCTTCTCCTCCATTCTCCTCTCAGGATCTTGGGCACGCACGCACACGCGCCTGGAGTGAGTTTAAGCCACTGGGTCCGGGACTCAAACCGCCATCGACTACATGGGAGTCCAGCGACATAGCCATTATGCTAACTGCTGGTCCCTGTCTCTTAACTGTAATACTAGAAACTCCAAAACATGGGCCAATGCCATCACAATTCTGAGGGAAAATTATTTCCAACCTAGAATTCCATTTCTAGCCAAATATCTTGCAAGACCTAAAAAGAAATTTTCTTCTATGAACCTGCTGAGGAAGCTCCAGCAAAACAAAGAAAAAATTAAGATGGGGCATTCTAGAAAATAAGAATCCAGTAACATAAGCAAAAGTGACTCTCTAACAATAAAAGCAGAAGTCAACAATGAAACAGAACTTGTCTAGAGAACAGCTCTTCTAGACCAGAGCAAGGCATTAGGCTCTAGGAGAAACTTTTTAAAGCAAATGAAACAGATTAATTACCTAATATGCATACACTTTAGAGAGATTTTTTCTAGAGGTATGTTTTTTGGTCCAAAAAGACTTTGAAATCTATGTTAGTTTTCCATAATAAGTATTTTCCATGAACTTTTAGAAGACCTCTTATAGTCTGCTGGCTTTCCTTTTGTTTACTTATACACTAAAACATTTAAATGTATAACCATTTCAAATGCTTTCTAGTTTAATAGATCTAAGAACTAATTAAACCCCTTTAAAAATACTGAGTCTCTCACTTTCCACAGGGGCTTGCTAAATTTTTAGGACCAGAGTATAGAGATGGTAAATGGCCATGTACTTCATGTTTTAGGTATGGTGGTTAAGGCACTAGATTCCCACATAGCCAATCACAGTCCCAGACCTGACAGCTTGTTTTCTCACTCACTCTTTCTCTCTGTCTCTCTCTGGTGAGTGCACATCCCTATAGCAAAATTTAAAAATGATAATAATGATAAATAAAATTAAATAATTCTTTAAAAAATAAATTTAAAAATAGAAAAAAAGGAAATCAAAATGTGCTCAATAATCTATAAAGTTCTAAGTTCCTATTGAGACAAATTATTTTCTTTTCTATCAGGCCTGAAACATGAAAATCACATGCATCGTGATTTTGTTTTGGCAATTTTCTGTGCTATTACTATCAGATGGAAGCCAGGCTTCTCAAACAGTAAGTTTTCACAGGTAGTGAAAATATTTTCAAGAGTCATTTTCTGTTCATATAGTAAAATATACCAAGGCAACAGAACAAAGAAAATCTAAGCTAGCCAAACTAAATGTTCAGTTAGCTGTGTATATTCAAAATATGTGACCTCTGAGTTAGATTCTAATTTGATGAAAACAGTCTTCATTCTTTCACTGAGTTCTATAAAAGTGGATTAAAGGGAAAAAAATCTGTAAATTTTCACTATAAAATCCAACACTAGTTTTAAGACATGAAAATCATAGTTTAAAATGTAGGATGGGCTGGCCCCATGGTGCCACTGTTAAGCTTTTCTCATTGGTTCGAATCCTGGCATCTGGTGACTTAAAAAACACACTGGGGGGGCCAGCAGGTGGCATGGTAGTTAAAGATGCTGGACTCCCACTTGACCAACCACAGTTCAAGTTCCAGACTTGGTAGTTTGCTTTCTCTCTCTCTCTCTCTGAAAAATAATGATAATAAGTAAATAATTCTTTTTAAAAAATGCCAGGTGTGTGTGCATGTGTACAAATAGTGAAATGAAAGAAAAAGGGTTGTGGCATGACCACACCCTGCTGGAGGGTGTTTTCTCTCTGGTGAGCATGTGTACCCTTTACCAATTAAAAAAAAAAAAGAATTAAAAATATAAAAAACAGGAAAATTTTCAAAGCCTCACATATTTATGAGGGAAACTCGTTGCATCATCATCATTATTGTTTATGTTGTTGGGAGAAACACTCCAACTGCAAAAAATAGTAAAAATTTCTTTCATCTATATCTGCATAAGAAAAGTATTTCATGTCCAGTGAATTTAAATACAATACATTGTTTCATTTTTTAAATGTAAGATAAATACTTCTTTTTTTTAATTTAATTTAATTTTTTTTTGGAGAGGTTTTCGCTATAGGACGTGTGCGCACGCCAAACAGAGAGAGAGAGACATAGAGACAGAAAGCGAGAAATCACCCCCCAGAGGGGATGGTCATGCTGCAATCCCTTCTCCTCTCGGGATCTTGGGCACGCAAGCACACGCGCCCGGCATGAGTTTAAGCCACCAGATCTGTGACGCGAACCGCAGTCGACTACATGAGAGTCCAGTGACATAGCCATTACGCTAACTGCTGGTCCCCCCAGCGTGAGTTTTAAGCCACCGGGTCCAGGACGCGAACCGCGGTTGACTACATGGGAGTCCAGCGACATAGCCATTACGCTAACTGCTGGTTCCCGATAAATACTTCTTTTTAAAATAACCTACTTCGAGATGTTAATCCCAAAGGTCTATATGTTGGGTTTTTTTTTTTTTTTTTTTTTTTTTTTTTTTTTTTGGGGGACATTTACTCCAAATTTAGACATTAAATGGATCCCCGACCACAACTGACAGAAGGAAAGAGAGACAGAAAGGAAAAGAGAGAAAGCACCCTGCAGGAAGGATCATCATGTTGCAACCCCTTATCCTCCATTCTCCTGTCAGGATTTTTGGCTTGCACACATGTGTGTCTGGCATGATTTTCCAAACTGATTATGTAGTAATAGTTTGAAGATACCTATATAAAAAATAGAATCCCTAAGTTCAATCGCTGTGTACTAGAATTACCTTTATATTCAGTATTTCATCCCAATACAGAAATATATTTGTTCTATCTTTTTCAACACCATCACACCACAAGATGAGATCATAAATTTTTGTCGAGGATTACTTCCTTCCAATGCGCTTGGAATATGAAACTGTGGAAAATTCTGTTAACATTTTTGTCTAATGCATCTCTAATTTTTTTTTTTTAGGAAGTCAAATGTAATTACACTGGAAAGACCTATTCTTTCATTCCGGCGGATATCAACAAAAGTGTTACTATACTTGATCTCAGTTATAACCTAATTACTCTGAATGTTATAGACATAAAAGTTCTACAAACGTATTTCTTACTTGTTGAATTCTATTTGATTGAGAATAATGTTACTATCTTACATAATAACAGTTTTGGTAATCTCTCTAGTCTAGAAATTTTAAATATCTGTAGAAACTCCATCTATGTAATTCAACAGGGTGCATTTTTAGGCTTAAATAAACTAAAACAGTTATATCTCTGTCAAAACAAGATATTACAACTGAATACTGATACGCTCATGCCGTTAAAAAACCTGAACCTTCTGAATCTGCACAGCAATTTGATAAGTTATTTTGATGTACCACAACTACTTCATCTGGAATTAATAACTTTATATGGAAATCCCTGGAACTGCTCTTGTAGTTTATTCAATCTGCAGAACTGGTTGAACACATCAAATGTGGTACTAGGTAAGTTAACAAAGTCTATGTTAAAACCAAGATATGATTAACTTTAGGTGTTCCACCCCAGAAAAATCTCTCATATGTTTAAAAGAAGAAATTATCTTTTTAAGAAAAACAGGAAGAGGGACCAGCAGTTAGTGTAATGGCTATGTTGCTGAACTCCCATGTAATCAACCGTGGTTTGAGTCCCGGACCCGGTAGTTTAAACTCACGCTGGGTGTATGTGCGTGCATGCCCAAGATCCCCAGAGGAGAATAGAGGAGATGGGATTGAGGCATGGCCATCCACCCTGGAGGGTGATTTCCTGCTTTCTGCCTCTCTGTCTGGCAAGCGCACGCACTCCGTAGCAAAAACCTCTCAAAAAAAAAAAAAAAAAAAAGGAAAAACAGGAAGAAACTCTAAAAAGTAAAAGTAACTGCTGAATAGGTGCTCTCCTTCGTATGAAGAAACTTGTATGCTCTATATATGTGATATGATGTGGTCACTTCTTGTATTATGTTAGTAGGGACAAACACAGACTAATTTTTTTCTTTAAGTATTACCTAGACAGTAGGTAAAAACAGGTGCCCTATTTTACTTCAAATCATGCCCTGCTTAAGATCCAGATTATAATCACAATCTTAATCATAAAGTCCTTACTGAACCATCTAAAAAATAAATAGATATTGCATTTAAACTACATTTATAAAATAACATAATAAACAGATATTTGCACCATTCCCTCGTTGTTTCACTAGGCAAATGGAATAAGTGCGTTTTTTTCTTACAATGACAGGTGAGTCAAAAAGTGTATATTAAAATAACTGCAAAATGTTATTAAGTGTTCTTGTTCTATATAATAAATCTTAGTATTCTTTCTGATTTACTAGAAAATGTGAATATCACCATGTGTAGATACCCAGATACCCTGCAATACTACAGCATCAAAGCAGTACCTTTTAAGGCTGAATGCTACTCAATATTTCCTTCACCTATAAGTGAAAACCTTCATTTCCACTTTCAGTACATTGGTAATTCAACATTTAACAGCTCTTTGAACAACTCAACAAAAAATTCAGGTAATGTGCTGGTTTTAAATAATTTTAATTTTCATTTAAATTTAGCATATTAAATAAACTGAGATAGTTTTCATTATCATTCTCCATTTTAAATGTCTATAACTCATGTAAAAGAACACTTCCTTATCCCAACAGATTTACAAAGTACTAGGCTTCTAAACTCGGAAGCTAGTTATCAGTCAAATGCCATTGTGCAAATTACTTAACCTCTCTGAGCCTTCATTTTTACTAGTTAAATAATGAAAAAAAAAACCTCAATGAGTAAAAATCAAGAATGGTCTTAGGGGCCAGCTTGGTGGTGTAGTGGTAACACACAGCCTAAGCAATGCTGGATCTACAAGGAAGATCATGGATTTAGTCTCTCAGCTGACCTGTACATTCTAGCATGTGTGCCCAAGATCCTGGCTGGCTGGGAAGGCTGAGGGGAGAAGGGATTGTAGTATGAGACCCTGTTGAGGATGTCTGTCTTCCTTTCTCTCTGTCTTTCCCTCATATGAAACAAATACTGGGCCATCAGAAAAGTCATGAAAAAAAAGTATTTTTTCATGTTTTTCTATGCTAAAATGCATCATGACTTTTTCGATGACCCAATATATGAACCTTAAAATGAATAAAGAAATAATTTTAAAATGATCTTGGATAGGTAAAAATAACTGCAAAAACTGGTAGTTACTTTGAAAAAAGGTATTCTCTCACCATGCTGGAAATATCCGTTACTTAGTATGGTTTTCAAAACTTGTCTAAAGAAAACTATGATGTATGTACATTTTTGATACCAATATTGGGAAGTATTAAGACATGATTATTATTATTATTTTGTTCTTGTCAATTTACAAATTCTCTCTCTTTCTCTGTATTCAAGTACATGAACCTCTTGGAAAAAGTTGGGCTTTTCTTGTTGGCGTTGTTGTCACCATGCTAATGACGTCACTCATCATTGTTATTGCGATCAAATGCCCAATATGGTATAAGTTTCTCCTTAGTTACAATCATCGTCGCCTGGAAAGTTATGAAGCAGAGATTTTTGAAGATGACTTTATTGAAAATCCAAATTCTCTTCCACAGATACCAAATACAAACTCTGAAGAAGCTACAGTAATATTTGAACAATTACATTCATTTGCAGTAGATGATGATGGGTTTATTGAAGACAAATATATAGATACTCACGAATTATGTGAACAAAATTAATTTGTTTCAATGTTTGAATTTTGTTTTAAACTTTTATCAGTCCCTTCCCTGCTCAGATATGGAGATTTTGATGTGAAATAGGCCAATTTATAACTAGTAGACCTTCAAATTAATTGTTAAATATATCATAATATTATATTTTTCTCATTGTGTTAAGGAAGCAGGTCCAAATATAATAACTGACTGTCCTCCATAGTCGATAATACTAGTATTCCTATCTCATCAGTATTCAGGAGACCACACAGACTAGTAAGAAGACTGAAATAAATGATTCATTACTGAAAATGTACAGATTCTCACATTAATACTGTTAATATGTATTAAATTATATTAAAGTCCCAGTCAATAAAGAAATAAACATTTTGGAATTCTTTCATTAAGAATCAAAGTGAGGAACAGAGATTGTTTAAACATTACACTAAGATTGATTTTATGCTCATAGAATAAATTCATGGACTTGGAAAATATTTTTTAAATGCTTTCTGAATTAGCACAATAAATATTCTTAAAAATTTAGTAGAGATTTAAAACACAGACACAATGTTCAGGCATAATCTCTAATAAATTAACACTGATTTCAGTTATAAAGAAAGGCTTCTGGGACCAACATTTGGCATAATGGCTATGTCACTGGACTCCCATGTATGTCAATCATAGTTTGAGTCCCGGACCCAGTGGCTTAAACTCACACTGGGCATGTGTGAGTGCGTGCCCAGGATCCCAAGAGGAGAACGGAGAAGAATGGATTGTGGCATAGCCAATCCCCTTGAGGGGGTGATTTCTTGCTTTCTGTCTCTCTGTCTCTCTTCGTCCTTCTGATGAGTGCATGCGCCCTATAACAAAAACCTCTCCAAAAAAACGGCTGTCATAATAAGGCATGATCGCCACAATTTAGTGTCATTGTGGCTTCCAAAGTAGGGATTGCAATTACCCATGGATCTTTTTTTTTTTAAATATACATATTTCTGTCTTTTTCATTCAATTCAAATAAATTTTATTGAAATATCTGTGCTGGAGTAAGGAATCTTTTATGGACAGCTACATGGGATCCATCAGATAGAGCAGTGTTTCCCAAACAGTTCTTTAGAACACTTTCCAGAGAGATATTGTAAAGTATTTATAACAAAAAGACAATATAGTCAAATTACTATAGGGAACACTGCTTAAACAAAATAAAGCAAGACTCCTTAATACAAAACTTGTCTGAGATTTTACTAAGTCAAACTGCTCCACTGCTCTCTGATTACTCAAGAAAAGTATTAAGAATTTTTCAAACCTTATCTTTAAAATTCAGTATTTTGAAATTTTGATTGTTTGTAAACTGTCAAGAATTATGGAGTATGAGCTAAATTTTTTTGCTATGCAAAGTAAATGTTTGTGGAAAAATGTAAAAATAAATAAATGAAAGAAAAAAAAAAGAATTTTTCAAACTTAACAACCAAACACTTTCTGTGAGGGATACCTATTAAGAGACCAGTACAATAGTATAAAGAATACAGTTCAAAACACATGGGCCTTGTGGCCAGTTGATGGCATAGCAGTTATATTGCTGAACTCCCACATGGTCAACCACAGTTTGAGTCCTGGATCCAGTAGCTTGAAACTCACACCAGATGCATGTGCGTGTGTGCCCAAGATCCCAGAAGGAGAATGGAGAAGAGACTGCAGTGTGGCCAGCCTCCCTAGGGGGTGATTTCTCACTTTCCCTTGCTGTCTCTGTCCCTCTCTCCAGAGAGGGCACACTCCCTATGACAAAAACCTCTTAAAAAAAAAACCACTGGACTCGAGAGCTAACTTGTAGCCTTTTGGTTAAGGGAACTAAATCCCACATGGCCAGTTGTGCAGTTTGAGTCCTGGACCAGGTGAATGTACATGCGTGTCCCAAATCCCAATAAGACAGAGAGAGAAAAAGGGATTACAGAGTGACACTGCCCCATGGGAGGGTACTTTCTCCCTCTCCCTCTCCATCTCCATCTCTCTCTCTCTCTGAGTGCACACACTCTTGGAGAAAATTTAAAAAAAAAAAAGAAAAGAATAAAAAAGCTGGTCATGAGACTAAAATAGAAAAAATATAAGGCAAATTATTTGCCAATTCTTTATAATCAATTGTCTGCAATTATGATGTTAACAATTTATCAATGCGGGAACCAGCAGTTAGCGTAATGGCTATGTCGCTGGACTCCCATGTAGTCGACTGCGGTTTGCGTCTCGGACCCGGTGGCTTAAATCTCACGCCGGGCGTGTGTGCGTGCGTGCCCAAGATCCCGAGAGGAGAATGGAGGAGAAGGGATTGCACCATGACCATCCCCCCTGGGGGGTGATTTCTCATTTTCTGTCTCTATGTCTCTCTCTGCCTGTCTGGCGAGCACACGCGCCCTATAGCAAAAACCTCTCAAAAAAAAAAATTTATCAATGCAAATAATGGTATTATTATATCTAGCAAAATCTATAATTTTTACTTTCCACACGTGGGAAATTTAGTACACATGTGTGTATACATATATACATACATATATACACATATATAATATGTACATACATATATATACATATATAATATGCATATATACTAGAAATAAAGACCTCTCTAAAACAATAAAATGTACTTATGGACTAAATAACATGTCTAGAATTTTCTTCATAATACATGGAAAGGAACAGTGGCTAGAGGTGTAGATGAAGCACAGCTGAGTAAGAGACAATATAGCTGGGAAATGGCTGCGTTAGGGTACAAGAAGCTATTTTTGTGTATGTTCAAATTTCTCTAAGTAAAGTTTAAAATATTGTTATGTATGATAATTTCTTAGAACAAAAGAGACTAAAATCATATAGATTATTTATAGATAATATAGATTCTGTGCTCTGCAGAACAGCCATTTAAAAAGGTATATAAATAATAAATTCAGGGACCAGCAGTTGGAGTAATGGCTATGTCACTGGACTCCCACGTAGTCGATCGAGGTTTGAGTCTCAGATCCAGTGGCTTAAACTCACACCGAACACTTGTGCATGTGTGCCCAAGATTCTGAGAGGAGCCTAGAGGAGAAGGGATTGTGGCGTGACCATTCCCCAAGGTGGTGATTTCTCACTTTCTGTCTCTCTGTCTCTCTCTGGCGATAGCACATGACCTATAGCAAAAACCTCTCCAAAAAAAAATATTCAGTTTATATATCTACTGTAGAAAAATAAAATTGGCTATAATAATATGCCTTATAAAAAAGAAATAACTCATTTTATAATGTGTATTTGATTATGTTTATAGAAACATGTTTTCAATGAAGGTCATAAAATATATTATATGTCTAGTATTTCTTATAATATCAATCATATTTTGTTTTAATTATGTTACAGAAAGGAGATAATTAAAGAAACATAATAATCTATCATTCTGCCAAAATATCATCTAATTATAAGATACAAATGTTATTTCAGAGGTGTACTAAATGAAATATTAGAAATGAGCAAAGACCACATTTTATCTCACACATAAAAGCTTATCATTGAATATTGGTATTCAATAAACTTATGACTAAAAGAAGGCAGTAAAATTATAATTATAATTGCATTTTTTGTTGTTTTCTTTTTTTTATTAGTTTTTTGCCATAGGGCACGTACTTACCAGAGAGAAACAAGAGAGGGAAAGTGAGAAATCACTCTCTGGGAGAGATGGCCACCCCATAGTCCCTTCTCCTCCATTTTCCTCTTGGAATTTGGAACATGCATGCTCACATACTCAGCAAGAGTTTCAAGCCACTGAGTATGGGATGTGAACCATGGTCAGCTATGTGGGAGTCCAGCACATTTACCACCATGCACCTGCTGGTCCCATAATTACATGTTTTATAAAGGACAACTAATCTTGACTAATACTCAACTAGAAAGTACAGACATCTGGGCCAGCAGGTAATGTGGTGGTTGGGATGCTGGACTCCCACATGTCTGACTATGGTTCTAGTCCCAGACTAGGCAGCTTGCTTTCTCACTTTATCTTTTTTCTTAATCAAATGAACCAAAAAGACATGAAAATCTATGAAATTTTTAAGCTAATGAGAATTATGTTTTTAAATGAAATATCTACAAAACTTATAAATATAATACTAGTAAATCTGACCTGGGTATAATAACTTTCAAGATAAATGATGAAATAAATGAAGATTTAAATATTCTAAACTCTTTAAGGCCTTCAGGACATTATAGCTTATATATATCTCATTCCTTTACAGACCTAGGAGAACATCTTATACATAGTTAATTATAAATACATTCATGTCCAACACAATGACAGATTGAATAAATGAAACAGTGGTCCCATAAGGAATACAGAGCAGTAGTATCAAATGATAGATGGGGAAAGATGGGGAGAAAAGACTTCTCTGTTATTTTCCCTTCCAAATGTCAATGTATTTTAACATCCTATTTGTCATCAAATATATTTGTTTATGCAGAGGTAATGTGTTACAGTGTATTTGGTGTTACCAGATTTCAGTAATTTGAGTTAACTATTGTCTTTGTACTCAAAGATACTAATATATTTTTTCTCTTTCATTTATTTATTTTTACATTTTTCCACAAACATTTACTTTACATAGCAAAAAATTTTAGCTCATACTCCATAATTCTTGACAGTTTACAAACAACTTTCAAAATTTCAAAATACTGAATTTTTAAAGACAATGTTCAAGATATGTCTTATAATTTTTTATAATTTTATAACTATAACAACAGAAGCAGTATGGTTTCAAATAAAGATACTAATATTAATAAACTTCTGGAATAGGTGTGCTTGTGTGTGTGCTTATACGAAATAGCTCATTGTCTATGTTTATATTGCCTTGGACAATACCTAATCAAGGTCAAAACGTTGATGAAGAGTAATTATGTTAATTACATCACATCTACTTACTTTTTTAGGCATTACTACCATTGCCATAGTTACTTCATTATCAAAGTTAAGGTTAGTTAGCAATTATTTTTTAGGTTATATATAAAGATGCACATATAATCTACATGTATAGTATATATTATTAATATAACTATTAAATACAAATGTTAATGAAACAATGTAAATAACCTACTGACCAATCATGTCTTTCACTAGATTGGGGGCAAAATATCATAATTCAAATTAAAAGTAGCTGAGCCCAACCATAAAAGCCCAGACTTTTCTTAGACTTAGTCATCGTGGCATACACTTGCTAAGATACTGAAGCTCAGAGGCTGAGGCTATATGGGAAGCCCAGGTTCACTTTACCGTCCAGGTTCACTAAACAGGCTGGGCCTGGAGGCATAAGCCTGTGATCCTGACTGGCTAGGAGGCAGGAACAGAAGGATCCTGGCATGACAAGATCTTGTCAAAAATCTTTCCCTCTCTCTCTCATAAACAAAAAAACTTATTTAAAAGAAAAGAAGCTTACGTTAAAATTTTAAATGGAAGATATAAAGGGTAGATACATTCCTATCCATCTTAGATTTTCAGTTCTTAGAAGCAGAAGTCCTATTTATATAATCATAGCAATTTTATTTATATTGAGTTTAGACATTCAATGGTATAGATAAAAATAATAAAATCTGTACTACAAACATCTTTTTTTTTAAAAAAAAAAGGCACAGAGAAAAATACTTAAGAAAATCGATAAAGAAATAAATGATTCACAAGTTAAATCCCTCAATAAAGTTCACTTATGAGTTTGTTTGATTTTTAGATGAGTTGTACTTACGCTTGTCTTTCAGTAAATATGATATCCATACTTTGCGTTTCTCGATCATTTTGAGCTTTAAGCTGAATAAACAGGAAAAAAAACCCATTAAACCAAACTTTCTCTAAAAACTATTCTAGTTATGAACTAAATTAAAGATTATTATAATAGTCCTAAGGACACATAAGAAGTTAAGAAAAAACATGCTATTAATTAATTGTTTCATTTAACAAACATCACCACCAGTCATTTTTATAGGCATCGTAATCTCACAATAGAATTCATTGGTCTTTAGTGACCTGTCCAATAATCCAATGTAAACTTAATTTAGATAACATTTCAAAAATTTACTGGGTGTTTAACAAGCATTTAATTAAAAAAAAGCTGAATTTAAAACTAGGATTTAATTAAAGAATGCTAAATATAAACCCAACAGTGGTTTTATTCTTAATTCATTTCTGATTTCGTCTGTGTACTTTTAGTCGTCTTCCTGTGCATATCCAGCCTAGAATTTGAATCTATCCCAAAAAACTGACAAAACACATAAGTAATTTTTACTTTTTATATATGGCATTAAAATACAGTCTTTAACCTGTGAATTCTCCTGTGCTATAAAGTTAAAAACAATCTACTAAATTATCATGGTTTTATAACTCCAACTTCAGAAGAGTAATTTCATAAATTCTGTTTCCATAGAACTGTCTTTGTTACTGTAAATAAATTACAAACTATATGTTATGAATTGGATGTTATTTTTGTCCAAATGTTTACAATAATAAGTTATCTACTAACATATTTTATTGTTTTTCTACCAAATAATTAATCTATGAACACTGAACACAGATTCTTATTTGCCAACCAAAAGTTAGTATTATACCTAGAATCACACATCAATTCATTTTTCTCCCTTTGTCTTAAAAACTATGTGACATCAGGAACCAGCAGTTAGCATAATGGCTATGTTGCTGGACTCCCACGTAGTCAACCATGGTTCGCGTCCCAGACCTGGTGACTTAAAACTCATGCCGGGCGCGTGTGCATGCGTGCCCAAGATCCCGAGAGGAGAATGGAAGAGAAGGGATTGCGGCGTGACCATCCCCCCTGGGAGGTGATTTCTCACTTTCTGTCTCTATGTCTCTCTCTGTCTGGCGAGCGCACGCGCCCTACAGCGAAAACCCCTCCCCAAAAAAACAAAAACAAAACAAAACAAAAACTATGTGACCACTGAGTACTTTGCTCCATTTGGACAAAAATTAAACCAGAAATCTTGTAAATTAATGTATAGAGAAGGAAATGTATGAATACATGAGACTTTAATTAATGGTGAGCAAGACTGGTGTCTTATTTAGTATATTCTAAAACATTCACTTCAGAGAGTCAACCAACAGTAAGAAATATAAAAGAGCAAATAAAAGAGCTCAACAGTTAATAGTAGTGTTTAGAATAACACTAATACTCATCTCTAAGACCTATAAGGATATATCAAACTATTTCTAGATATGAATGCACTTTTTTTAGAGGATATAATTTATATGGCTCTACAGCTAATATTTACAAATTATAAATTTTCTTACCATATTGTAATCATTCATTACTTCTTCCATTTCAGTATTGGTATTAAGTTTATCTACCAACTAAAAACAAAAATACAAAAAGAACAAAACACCACTATTAGTTTTTATATGCATTTGTCTAATTACTCTATGAAGTACATATTATTGTCTACCTTATATATATATAAAGAAATTTAGCAAGCAGTGAAGCCAGAATTTGAATAAAAAAATCTAATCAAAACAAACTATTTAATAAAATTGACTCTAAAAAACTAAGCTTTATTAATGTAACATTAACAATCACACTTTGAAACTTGTGACAATAATAATAGGTGCTAGTGAGACCTATTGAGTAGGAAGTACATGTCAGCTGAACTACACTAGCTGCCTTGCTAAGTGCTTTCTGTGCATCAGGTATTACCTCATTAAGCCTATGAAGAGTATATTTTAAATGTTATTAATATTTTAACATTAAGTAATGTACCCAATACATTATAGAATAACTAAAAATTCCTTTCATTTAATATCATTTCATATCTTATAAAAACCATTTTTCTTATATTTATAAAAGAACATCATTTACTAAAAAAAAAAAAACAAAAAAAACAAAAAAAAAAACTACTGACTATTAGGCCCTGTAAAATGTTTGTTATAGAGTGTATTTCCCAGAACATTTAAGAATTATGGTAGAACATTTCTTATTTCTTGTAACACTATTTATTAATAGGAGTAGGAAAATGAAAATATGTGTCTTCCATTTAAACCAGACATTCTCAGTACCTAAAGCACCTACAGGGTTGGAGGGAGAAAATTTTGCCACTAGAAATCTTCACAGAAATGTTCAAGATTGAGACAGTTATCAGCACTGCCATAGCGATTGTTTCTTCTGAAAGTTCACATTAGGAAACATCCTTGATGGGATTACGTTTATGTCATACACTCTATTTTGGAAGGATGCACAGACTTTACTTTGAATAACACATATGGATAGAGGTAATCTATATGCTAAATAATTAAATTTTGAACATTTCATGATTGTAACACTTCATAGAAAGATCAAATGTTTTTAAAGCAATGATATGGTACCAATGAATTTTAGATACTTTTCAAATTGTTTTAATTATTTTAATATTAGAGAAGCAGTGTGTGTGTATTTATAAATAAATATATATTTTTTTAAATTGGTATACATGCACATGTGCCTAATATCCTGACAAGGTAGAGAACTAGAAAACAGAACCATAGCATGATGAGGGCTTGTCCAGAGTCCTTCTCTCTTTTATTTGTTCTCTCTCTCTCTCTCTCTCTCTCTCTCTCTCTCTCTCTCTAGTATACATGCCTGTGCTCTCTACTGTGAATATATTTTTAAAAAATTGGATGAGGATATATCAATATATCAGTCTGTTAAGACAAGTTACTTCCATAATAAGAGAGAAAGAGAAAGCATGCTTTATTTTCTGTGCTTTTTAAGCTTTCAACTTTTCAATGTATGTATTCATGTATAATTTGGTATTTAAGGTAACTTCTTTTTAGGGCCAGATAGATGGTATGGTGGTTAAAGCAGCTGGATCCCATATGACCTACTGTACATTCAAGTACCATGCCCAACAGCTTAAATAACACTCAGGGTGCATGTGTGTGTGTGTGTGTGTGTGTGTGTGTGTGCACCCAAAATCCTGAGAGAAGACTGGAGAAGAAAGGATTACAGTGGCATGGCCAGCCCCCCAGAGGGATACTTTTTCACTTTCTATCTGTCTCTCTCAGTCAAGTGCGCATGCGCATGCCCTATAGCAAATTTTAAAAAAATAAACAATAGACTTTTTTTTAATCTTTTTTTTCTTTTTCTTTTTTTTTTTTTTTGCTATAGGGCGCGTGCACTTGCCAGACAGACAGAGAGAGACAGAGAGACAGAAAGCGAGAAATCACCCCCCAGGGGGGATGGCCACACCACAATCCCTTCTCTTCCATTCTCTTCTTGCGATCTTGGGCACATATGCACATGCACCTGGCCTGAGTTTAAGCCACCAGGTCCGGGACTCGAACCACTGTCAACTACATGGGAGTCCAGCGACATAGCCATTACACTAACTGCTGATTCCTACAGACTTTTAAAGTGGTAAAAAGCAATGAAAATATTCAAAGAAAATTCTTTCAGAAAAGAGCAAATACCATGTTGTAGTCTGCTAGTTGTCCTTGAAACTCTTTGATTTCAACAGCTAAAGTCTCAGCCCTGCAAGCATAAAATAAAGATATTCATAAATACATAAAATATCAAATGAACATTATGGATAATTTATAAATTCAGTATTATATTTAGAAAATACTGAATGACTACTCAATACTTATTTGTACTATGAGTACATATTAAAAAAATCTCACCTATTTTAACTGCAGAATTACTCACCTCTTTTCATATGACAAATACACTGAATTCTCTTGATTGTACATTTCTATTTCTTTCTGAAGTTTATTAATTTCAGTTGTAAGTTCACTTATTTTACTTCTAATTGAAAAGAAATAAGAAAGTCAGCAATACTTTTAATCTAGAAAATTCTTTCTAGTTAAACAAAGTTTAAACTTTTTAAATATATGTAGCAATAATATAAATTATTTTGTGAAATTTACTAAAAAAAGTTTAAGTTGCTTATATGATTAAGAATGAGATACATCATGATCCCTAAAATAGACAAGTGGGATTACATCAGACTAAGAAGTTTCTGCATGGCAAAAGACACAGTGATTAATGTGAACAGACAGCCCTCAGAATGGGAAAATATTTTTGTAAACTATGCATCAGACAAGGGACTGATAACCAGAATTCACAAGGAACTCAAGCAGCTGTTCTAGAAAAAGACAATCAATCCTATTAAAAGATCGGAGAATGAGTTGAAAAAACCACTCTCTAAAGATGACATACGAATAGCTAAAAGGCATATGAAAAAATGCTCAACATCCCTCATTGTAAGAGAAAAGCAGATCAAAACAACAATGAGATATCACCTAACCCCAGTCAGAATGTCTAAGATTAAAAAAACAAAAAATGATAAGTGCTGGAGGGGGTGCGGTGAAAAGGGAACTCTCTTACACTACTGGTGGGTTTGTAAATTGGTCCAACCACTGTGGAGAACAATTTGGAGATTACTCCAAAATCTACAAATAGAACCACCATATGATCCAGCAATCCCACTCCTTGGTATCTACCCAAAGGACAAAAGAATACTTAATCAAAAAAGTGCTTGCACATCGATGTTTATTGCAGCACTTTTCACGATTGCTAAGTCATGGAAACAACCTAAATGCCCACGAACTGATGAATGGTTAGAAAAACTGTGGCACATATACTCAATGGAATACTATTCATCCATAAAAAACAACAAAACCCTGGCTTTTGAAAAGAAGTGGATGAATATGGAAGACTTACTGCTGAGTGAAGCAAGCCATGCTTATGAAGGAGAGGCATTGTATGTCCCCACTTAATATATACTGAGTGTCTGCACTCTAAATGTATATATATATATATTTGAAACCATACTGCTTCTGTTGTTATAGAGTTATAAAATTATACAAAATTATAAGACATATCTTGAACATTATCTTTAAAATTCAGTATTTTGAAACTTTGAAAGTTGTTTGTAAACTGTCAAGAATTATGGAGTATGAGCTAAAATTCTTTGCTATGTAAAGTAAATGTCTGTGGAAAAATGTAAAATAAAAACAAGTTGTAATGAAAAAAAAAAGTAAAAAAAAAACATAAAAAAAAAAGAATGAGATACATCCTATCCTGTCTTACTCAACAGATAAAAAATAGACATAGATATTTTAATTATTAGAAAAGATAAAATAGGACCACAGGGGAAGACAAATATAGATGCCTTTCATCCTCATTGCCTGCTAACTCTTTAGAGCAAGTTTGTCAACAGTGGTACTAATGACATTTTATGTTAATATCTAATTCTTTGCAGTGGAGGAGTATCTTGTATCTTGATCTGGTGCTAGCACCTCCTCCTAATGAGAAGTTTGTGAATAAACTGCCAAATATTCTCTGGGACCTGCGCCGGGGGCGGGGGGAGGGAGTAGGCCACCCCAATACCACTGCTTTACAGACAATTACACAAATAGCTAGAACTATTCTTTGGTGCAGAAGCACAAATCCTAGAGAGGCAAAGCCAATGATCAGGAATAGCTGTATTTCCTTTCCTTCTTTTGATTAAAAAGTAACTGAATATTAATGATACTATCCAACTGACGCCCTTACTATCTTTCTTATGGATTTTAGTTTTGAGGACAGATAAGTAAAACCTATACTTTTGTTTATTGCCTTTAAGGAGGCTGAGAATCAACAGGATCCAGGCAATTGAGAAATAAAAGAATATATAAGGACCAAGAATGAAAACAGGGCTTTTAGGGCATAATGGAAAGATGGGTGAAATGAAATGGAAATAAGAAAGAAAAGAGATCAAAATGATGAGTGAAGAAGACAATAAAATAAAATGGGAAAATGGAGATAGGACAATAAGAACTGAGCAAAAAAAAATTATAGGTACCGACTGAGAAAAAAGTTTTAATTTAGAGCTGCATATTTACGTAACAAAGCTTATGGAATTAATTAAAATCTGGCATCATTTGAAGCAACTGATCAAATGATGGTTTGAATGTTCATGTCTCTCCAAAATTTAGGTTGAAACTTAATCTCCAATGTAAAAGTATTAAGAGGTGAGGTCTTAAAAGGTGATTATACTGTGTTGGCTATTTCCCTATGGAAAAAAATTAATGCCTTACAAAAGAGATGCAGGGAACTATAATAATTTAGCCCTTTTTTGCCCTTTTGCTTTTTCATTATGTGAAGAAACCTAGACAGCACCACTAGAAACACCACTGAACTTGCTGGTAACTTGACCTTGGACTTCCCATCCTCCAGAACTGTGAAAAATAAATGTCTGTTATTTATAAGTTACCTAATCTATGGCATTTTGTCATAGCAGCAGAAATGTACTGAGACAAAAATAAATAGCTCACATATATATGTACTGAACACATAAAATCAAAAATCTCAGCCTAATTGTATTATCCTATCAGTATAACCAAATTAACTAGAAATTGTCAGAATATAAAATAATTCTTTGAGTCCAAGAGATGTCTAGTTATCTTAATAAGTAATACAGCTAAAACTTCATGATCATGAGTAGAAGAGACGTGTTTATTTAACATACCTCAGAAGCCCAAGATAATAGGATTTGTCTAAAATTTGCCTTTGCGGACCTGAAAAAAAATTTTTTTAAGAGTTAGTGTTCAGTTTTAAAATGCCATCAAAATAGCAAATATAAAGTAAAACCAGAATTACACTCTATAATTCTTTGTTTAAGAATATTTATTTAATTTTATTTGTTATTATATTTTAATTTGATGAGAGAGAGAAAGTGAGAAAGCAAGCTGCCAGGTAGGTCCAGGACTCGAAGTGTAGTCAGCCATGTAGAAGTCTAGCTCCTTAACTACCACACCACCTGCCAGTCCCTACACTCCACAATTTTCACACTGTTATCATGAATATCCCCAGTTAATCAAAAGAACTCACTGAAATGGAAAAGAGGATACCTTAGAATCATGATATGACAGAAACTTGAAGATGCGACTTGGGGTGAAGCTGTTAAGATAGCAGATTCTACAAGACAGGCTAAATGAATGGAAACTGAGAAAAGAAAATTTAAAACAGAGCTGTCCAAAAAACTTTCTACAATGATGAAAAGATTCTTCTATAGTAACACTGTTCAATAAAGTAAGACAGTGGAACTGTCAAGCAGTTAAAATTTGGCTAGTGCTACTGGGGAACTATGCTTGTTTGCTTATTTATTTATTTATTTATTTTTACTTAAATATAATTAATTCTAAGTAGCCATATATAACGACTAGCTGTCATACTGAACCATATTACTTATGTGAGCAAGAGACTATGATTTTTTTTTTTCATAAGTTAACTCATTTATTGTAGGCTAGTGATATTCCAAATGTCTATGGAGCTTCTACTGGTCTTTCAATTCCTTCAGTCTTCTGATGGCAGACTTTACTGTGACAGCCGAAGTGGTGGTGCAGGTCCAGGCACCACCAGCTACCATTTTCATGCAGGAACCAGAGCGCCAGATTCCCACAGCCCGTCTCTTCATCTTAGTTTGCCACAGAAAGAGCAGGTGTACTTGGTGTACTAGCTGATTCCAATTTTCTTCACCATTTTCCAGAGGGAGGCGTCGTAGCAGGTCCCATAATAATCGACAATGCCAATCTTCTTGGTGCATTTAGCCATGCCACTGCCAACTAGGTCCGAGCCCAGAGAACAAGACTATGATTTTTTAATACTGCATATCAGAGACATTTTTAGAAATGTGATCTTACATTTTACTGAATGGCTTGGTTAAATGTCTCGAGCCTGGGAACAGATGAAGTATACTGCAAAGTGTCAGAGGTAAGTAAGACTAGGGCCTACAGTATTGACTGTAAGGTCTATGCTGAGAAGAGAGGGGAATGTCTTATTATAATGAGAAATGAGGCATTAGACCAGGTAATAATAAATGTCACAGCAGACAAGGTGCATAAGGGTAACAACCAGAACTCTGTTACGTAAGCTTTTGAAATATATTGGTAAAAACGTACTATCATAATCGACATTGGCTCTACTTTAAAGGAAAAATTAATAGAGTCACAAAAATGTGATGAATTCACTAAAGACTTTTGGTGTGTTTCTACCCTTAATGTTTTTAAATAAGTAATATTAAATATAAATATTTCTGTGAATAGATTTTTAAAAATTAGTTAAATGACTTTAATTTTAACCTAATTTTTCATAATTTGTAATTATTAAGCATGTATTTCTAAATAATTGACTTGAAATACTTAGAAAACTAAGTGGTATGATAGTACAAGTAAAATGTTTTAAATAGCCTGAAAGGCATGACATACTATATTATCCAAAGTGGTATAATGTATTTAATTTTGTACCAACAGAGTATCTTCATTTCTGATAAGTCATCTGTCCTAAGTACAGAAAACAAACTTTTTACAGAGTTTACCATGATTGCATTTATATACCACAGATCGTTTTTTTTAAATGATGACTTTTCATGAGTACTTCCACTTTTTTTTTTTTTTTTTAGGTTTTTGCCATAGGGCATGAGCACTTGCCAGAAAGACAGAGAGAAACACAGAGAGGCATGATTTTTAAGCCACAGAATCCAGGACTCAAACTGTGGTCAGTCATGTGAGAATCTAGTGCCTTAACCACCATGCCACTAGTCCTCCACAGATTAAATTTTAAAATAACATATACATATCATTAGACATCTCTAAACACATATAGAGAGCTACAATGGTTTTTAATGGTAAAATCTGTGTGTTAACCTCATTATAACATATTAAAATGGAGTATTAATATTCAGAAAAAAGTTAACTTTTTATAAACAAACAGATATTTTAATAGTATTATTGTTTAATGGCCAGAGAGTGAGTGAATTTGCCAGAGAGACAGTGAGAGAAAAAGAGAGAGAGAAAAAGAGAAGGCACCCCTCAGTGGAGTACATTGACACCACAATCCCTTCTCTTATTTCTTCATCCTTTCAGGATTCTGGACATGCATGTGCAAGTGTCAGGTGTATCTTAAAGTCATGGAGCCAGCATTCAAACTGTGGTTAGTCATACAGGATACAACTCATTTAACTGCTAGGCCCAGGAGCTGGCCCAAGTTTCCACATTTTAAAAACAACAGAACTTGAGCCAGCAGTGGCATAGTGATTAAAGCACTGGGTTCTCAGGCCGGCTAATGACGTGGTGGATAAGGGCGCTGGATTCCCACATGGCCAACCACGGTTAGAGTCTCAGACCTGGTGGCTTGCTTTCTCACTTTCCCTTTCTCACTCTCTCTCTCTGTGTCTTTCTGGTCAAATTAAAAAAATAAATAAAGTGAATGAATAAATAAAATTAAATAAATAATTCTTTAAAAAAATAAATGAATAAAGCACTGGGTTCTCACAAGTCTGATTACATTCCAGTTCTGAACCTGTGAGCTTGAAAATCACTCTAGGCACATATGTATGCATGCCTAAAATTCAAGGAGGAAAATGGAGAAGGGATTGTGTGTGGGTATGGCCATCCTCATTCACGAGAAAAGGTGATTCCCCACTTTCCCTCTCTTTGTCTCTCCTAGCAAGCTCGCGAGTCTTATGGCAAAAAACTAAACAAACAAACAAAAAAACAATATAAAAAACCCCAATCAAACCTAATACTCAGTGATCCAAAGTCAAATAAGATAAGCTAAGGGACAGCAGGTGGTGCAGCTGTTACATTGCTGGACTCCTACATGGCCAACCACGGGTTCGAGTCCCAGACCCAGTGGTTTCAAAATCATGCCAGGTACATAAGCATGCATGCCCAAGATCCAGGAGGAGAAAGGAAAAGAAGGGACTGCTGCATGGCTGTCTTCCCAGGGAATGGCTTTTCACTTTCTCTCTCACTTTCTCTGTCTCTCTTGTGAGTGCACCCACCCAATGGCAAAAACTTCTTAAAAAAAAAAAAAAAACGATAAATTGCCTACTGTGAGGAAGATTAGAGGCAAACAAATGGGATATATTTCTGTTCTGTATTTCTTTTTGCTAATGAAAACATGGGAACAAGGATCACTACCTATTACCTAAGTAGTTTGGTTTGGTTTGGTTTGCTTATTGTCAAAGGCGTGCATACTCCCCAGAGAGAAACAAAGAGAAAGAGAAGGTAAAAGTACCCCTCAAATGGAGTGCAGTCCTATCACGGTCCATTCTCCATTTCTCTATCTTGTGAGAATTATTGACAAGCACACACATTCACACACACATGACACACACATTTATCAAGTTCTTGTGGTTAGGATTTGAACTATGGTCAGCCATGTTGGATCTGGGCTCCCTTAACCATCAGAATACAGGACTTACCGACTCAAGTGGTTTTAAACAAGTCATTTAATCTCTTTAAAACCAAGATAATAGTATATGTCCTACACTCTAGGACACGTAATAGTATGTTTCCAGCACTGCAGTATTAGCACGCTATATAGGACTGTGCTATGGCTGGGCTTGAGAATTTTTTAACAATTAAAATCTATACAATCTGTAAAATATTCCTTATATTTTTTAATATCTAAAATATTAAACACTATTACTCAATTTATTAAATAACATTTTTAATATTTAACCAGTTATGTCTCTCAGAGTTCTTAATTATAAGTAACAGAAATCATCTATGGATGACTGAAAAGGAGAAAGGAAATTCTTTAGAAGATATCAAGCAGCTCAGAGACACTCCAGGAATAACACTATGATAGGAAAACAATCAAAAAAACATTTCATACTATTTCTATAAACCTGTAAATCTAATTTTAAATTCTAAGCTTTTCTTGAAACTTATTTCAAATTTCATCCTTCATGTAATAGCTAAGCTGGGCTGGTCCCAAGGACTACTGGTTAAAGAGGACAATCACACATGGCCAACTACAGTTTGAGTCCCAGCCGCAGTGGCTTGAAAAACACACCAGATGTATGTGCTTGTGTGCCTAAAATCCTAACCGGATGGAGAAAAAAAGAAGGAGTTGTGGTATAACTATGTCCCACTTGGGGATAGTTTCTACTCCCTCCGCTGGCAAATACATGTACTTTCTGGCAATTAAAAAAAAAAAAAGAAAGAAAGAAAAAAGTGTAAGAAAAAAGTGATAGCAAAGTTCCATGTTCAGAAAAATGAACAGCTCATATATGTATATGACTTTCTAGTTCACAATATGTTTTCATATTCATTCTGTTATTTAACCCTCATAATAATTTTGTGAATCAAAGAGTAAGAGTTATATGTTATAATTCTGATTATATGCTGTAATTATGTGTAATAATTTTATGTGCTATAATTCTGATTTAGTAAATAGTAATGTAATATTTTCTGCATAAATACACTTGTCTTCTTAAATTAGATACCTTTCATTCCAGTTTTCATTCCACTCAAACCTTGTTGTGTTACAGGACGATCAGCAACTTTGATTTGAGAAGACAGAACTCCACCAGTCCCTATGGGACCACCACGAGAACCTGGTCTTGCTGTCCCAGGTGGCATCTAAATGACAAACAAGATTTCACTTTTAGTAAAGTGGAAAACATCCTATAATTCTATTACTGTAGGCTGTAAAAGATAATTTTTTTTGAGATAGAGAATACATACATGTATGCATATATGAATGCACATACAAGAGAAAAAGAGAGAGAGATATCCTTGACAGGGTCTCATCACATCATTATTATTAAGATATTGGCACTCACATTCTCCCCTCACTGTTTCAAGCCAACCATGGGGATTCAAACCCATGGTTCACCATTGTAGTTTCCAACACTGCAGTATTAGCATATTATACAGGGACTGTGCTATGGCTGAGCCTGAGAATTTTTTTAAAAATTAAAATCTACACAACCTATGAAAATTCCTTATATTTTTAATATCTAAAATATTAAACACTCAATTTATTAAATATTTTAACATTTAAAATTTTATGAGTAGTAAATACATTTCGTCTCAATTTACAATTCTATGTATAGAGATTATTTATTTATTTATTTTTTGGGAGAGGTTTTTCGCTATAGGGCGCGTGAGCTCGCCAGACAGAGACAGAGAGACAGAAAGTGAGAAATCACCACCCGGGGGGATGGCCACGCCACAATCCCTTTTCCTCCATTCTCCTCTCGGGATCTTGGGCATGCACGCACACGCACCCGGCATGAGTTTTAAGCCACCGGGTCCGGGATATGAACCGCGGTCGACTACGTGGGAGTCCAGAGACATAGCTATTACGCCAACTGCTGGTTCCTAGAGATTATTTATAATACCCACAAAATGGAAAGGAGCTAAATATCCACAGTAGGAAATTGTTAAATAAGTTGTTGTATACAGAAAAGCAGTTTACAAAATAGTATTTGTTTTATTCATTCATTTATTTATATGTTTAATTATTTTTAAAGAGATTTTTGCTATAGGGTGTGTGCACTTGCCAGAGAGACAGAAAGCAAGAATTCATCCCCCAGGGGAGATGGTCACACCACAATCCCTTTTCCTCTCATTTTCCCCTTGGGATTTTGGGAACATACACACATGTGCCCAGAGTGAGTTTCAAGCCTCCAGGTCCAGGATTCAAACTGCAGTAGGCCATGTGAGAATCCAGCAACATAACCATTACGCCATCTGCTGGACCCTATCATTTTAATTAATTATTTTTCCTCTTTTTGCTAGAGGGTCATGCACTCACCATAGAGAATGAGAGAGAAAGAAGGAGAACAAGAAAGTACTCCGCAGAACAGAGTCACACATAAATCTTTTCTTCTCTATTTCTCCAAACTTCTTTTTCATAAATATTTAACTGGGACTGTAAGCACACATGTGCTCCTGCCTGGAGTGCTCTTCCAAGCCATGGTGGCCAAGATTTGAGGTGCACAGCCTTTTGGGATCTAGTTTGCTTAACCTCCAGGAGACAGGCCAGGACCAATAATCAGATTTTTATAAAACAATGGGGAATCACATTAAAAATTTTTAACAATGATCTCTACATAATATTATAGTTGATTTTTATTTTCTCCATGTAATGTGGGGCATTCAGCATTATTACATATATATTACTTCTAAGATTAAAAAAAGAATTTTATTTTAAAAAAAAACCTAGATATTATTCTGTCACAAGGCAGTCATGTTAAGTAGGGTTTTTGTCATTTAGCAGTCATATGTATTTTACTCGATATGAGTCTTTACTTCAGGTCTGAGGAAAGGATACAGGACTCCCTTCTTGTCAAAGCATAAAGCTATTAATAGACACGGGAAAGTAAAAAAGTTAATATGGATACGAGCAAACGGTGTAATAGTTACGTCTCTGGACTCCCATGTAATTGACCATGGTTTGAGACATGAACCCAGTGGATTGAAATTCACACAGGGTGTGCGCGCGTGTGTGTGTATGCACACACGCATGTGTGCCCAAGGTCCCTGGAGGAGAATGAAGGAAAAGGGATTATGGTGTGGGCCCCCCCGCCCCGGAAGTGATTTTTTGCTCTCTGTCTCTCAGTCTCTTTGGCAAACACATGTGCCCTATAGATAACCCTAAACTGTTCTAAGATAATCCTTTTGTTCTACTCTGTTTCATTGCTAATAACAGAATATAACAGAGTCTGGGAACTTTAAAAGAACAGAAATTTACTCATCTTATAGCTTGCAGGTTCTAAATCCAGATGCCCCATCTGCTGAGGGTCTTTTTGCTGGTGGAAGGCAGAAGCTTGAGCAGAGCAGAGCTTATCTCTGTCTCATTCTC